TTTATAATGGATTTTCATCTAAACATGTGTATAGTTTTTCATTAAACCTAAAGAGGCTTCTTCTATATATCGCTTTAGGGTTAAGCACATGTTCAAGTGCGTAAAACAAAAGTCGGTTTCAAATATCAAAATTCCCAGAAAGAGGATTTAATAAGAGGAAAGTTTGAGCAAGACAGATTCTCGAAAAACTCTTTACTTTATATAAAATAAAGATTCCAAAAATCTTCAAGTCCACTATGAAGGATAACTGGATAAGCTTGTATTCAGCCTTTGACTGAAAGGAGCTAGGCTTGTTAAGCACTGTTGGTATGACATAGTGCAAGATCTCTAGATTAAAACTTCAAGGTAAGACTTCCTTTTGGATCAAGCTTCCCGCAAGAAATTTTGTTCACCAGTTAGAGCAAAAGTTGTACCAATATTGGCTAAAAATTTGGAATCTTTACTCTGGTTGATCATGGTTGACTTCTGAACTACTGTAATGTTGAAACCATGGATTCTTTGATCTATATTGACCCATATAATGGAGATGGCCTAACTAATGGGAAAATTGCTTCCAAATCTAAGCAGAGAATGATTGTTTCGTAGAAAAGAAGATAGAAAAAACATGTATAAAATCTTCCTAAAAGACAATATAAATTGTTCTAGAACAATGAGGCTTCTGAAGACCATTATAAAGAACTATCAAAAATTCAATATCTTTAAAATAAGAAAGAAGGGAAATATTTGAATAATCACATGATTCTCGGACACCTTTATGATAAAACACACAAGAGGCAGTGATTAGGTGTTCCGTGTGTTCCAAAAACTTCTGTATATATTAAGTGGAGTACTAAAGGTTATATCAGACTAATGGTGAAGTTCTTTTTGGAAATTCTCTTTCTAAAGGAATTCTAATTTTGATGCTATAATGGAACTATTTCGTAGAGTTGTGTACAAAAATTTATTTTCTACGAAAATAGACAAGTGAACAAATTAAGAATGTTTAAATAAAGCTGTTAAAGAAATAATTAACAGAACAAATATGTGCTCTCTAACAACTTAAGCTTTTAGATGAGATGTTCATATATGCTTCAGATGTCCAGTCTTGGGCGCATGGGTGTTAAGAGTCCCACATCAGCTGTGGAAGGGGTGTTTGGTGTACTTATATAGTCTTGTGAATCCCTCACGTTATGAGCTAGCTTTTGGGGTTGAGTTAGACCCAAGGTCTATTTCGTATCAAAAAGCAAATTGATAATGCAAACTCAAATTTATACTGGTTCAGTTATGCGTACGTTCAATTGCCTTGTTCTGGGGTTCCTCTAGATCAATTTATTTTTCTCTAGCACAAAGTAATGAGTGGTTTTGCACGTGCACACCATGTGTGGTTGTCTTTGTATCATCATGAAAGAGTTACCTGTAGTGGTTTCGACATTGCTAACCACCGACAAAGGCTGCCTAAACTCTCTCATTTAGCGATTTAGAAAGCTAGGTCTTTGTCTAGACAGTAAAAATGAAGATGATTTTCACCTTTTCGGTGTAGGGCTTCTTTCAGTACAATGATGAACTCTCCTATAGATAAATTGTGAACTATAAGTACAAATTTCCAAGTACAAGAAGCTGTGCTGCTTTGCTCTTTTCTTTTGGAGTGCTTTTCTGTCTTCTTGTCCTCAAATTCTTGGTCAATTTATACTAGATATCCAGACTTTAGGAATTCTTTGTTGAAAGTATTCCTTGTGAAGCACCAATAGCAGTTGGAGATTAAGTCTTCAAATTTCATTAACTTCAGCCATAGTTGACTTGTTCAATCTTCAGTTGCCTCAAGTTATTTCCATATCCAGTTCTCTTAGCTGCCGAAACTTTTCATTCTTCAATTCTTATATAACTCGTGCTTGTGCATCCATGGATATTTTTAAGAGTAACTTCCACACAAGTTCATTCTTTGAATTTTGTTCCTCCTATCTTCAAGATCTTTTCCAATCTGGTATTTCTTTCCTTATTTAGATCCTCATCAATTTCATTATTATGCTAAGCACCCAAATTATATCACTTTCATTAGCAGTCTGGATCTTCCTTTAATTGCTCAATTTATCAATCAACATCCTTTGATCAATCAATCCTGCATAAAAAGAATAGCCGCAGATCAGGATGATTTATTTGATTAAAACTCCAAGTACCAAAATAACTACAATGCTAGTCTATATGAATCTTCACTGACTATGATACTCCATTCAAACTCATCTCATGCCAATATTAAAATTCCAAATAAGTCTATTTTTAGATCATAATATAGAGATGTGAAATCCTTGGGCCAACACTTCACATTTTTCCTAGATCATAATATGGATGAATCTAATGATTGTCAGACTCTTTCTCGATAGAAGGAGCTTCGTCCTATTCAGTATGCCTTCTATAAGTTTATATAGTAGCACATGATTGATTTCTCTTTTGAATCTTCAAACTTTCCTTTTTTATAGAACATTATCTGTTTAGCACTGTGCCTTGTTCCTTTTGTTGTGTACAATAGAACTTCTTTTCAATCCTTGGTTATTGAATGTTTCAGCTTGTATATTGCTGTATTTACTAGGACCAAGTCGGGTCTGTACTTATAACAGGATTAGCAAAAGATAGAAGACCATATGGGGTCGTCAAGGGTGTAGGGGACTGATTAAATTTAATTCAGTGTGCATTTGTCAAGTTGGTTTTGTAGTTTCCATATTAATATTTGGTATATATGATCTCTTCACAAATGTTTTGTTGGATTTCTTGGCGTAAGATGGTTGAGGGTGGGAGAAAAAATAGGTAGTCCTGTGAACAGGTCATTCTGTGATCATCGCTGCAGTTTTAAGCGAAGCAGCAACAGGAAATACAAATTAAAAGACATCTTTGCTAAACATGTAAAATGCAATTAATGTTTTATGCTTACTCAAACTTGATTATATTGGAATCATTAAATCTTAAGTTGGCCATTGTACAGTACAGGTTATGCTGTGATATAATATATGGGAACTGCTATTCCAAGCTGTAACCCTGGAAAAAACAAAAATAACATGGAGGGGACTTAACGGATCATTGAGGATTCATAGCACTCCCATGGCCAAGAGTTGCCAGTTTTGTCATTCAGCTTTAAGATGCATCATGTGGTAAGGCTTCCAATATGGAGTTTAACTTCTAATTATGTTGGCCAAAACAGATTGTTGTATTTCGCCATCTCCACTATAGAGCAGTCCTGTGAAGTAGTCCAAATAAGAAATATCTTTCATGTAGTATGACACCCATTTTGACCTTCTGTAGCCTTAGTGTATAGGTATACAAAATCTAGGAGATAAATGTAACTAATTTTAGCCCTATCTATCTTCAATTTTATTTGTGGAGTTCGATTCTCTTGTATTTCTGTATATTATACGATGTGAACTTCTATTTATTGTAAAATCAGTGCCATACGAGTTTCCTAGGGATCAAATATGTCATTGAGCTAACCCTTCTTTGTATTAGTCCTCTGTATGTGTATTGATATATCAAGTCTTCTTAGACTATGTATATAATTTCAACTTGTTTAAAACAGTCAGTCTACTGACCTGTCCTATGCACTTTGTATGTTGAATTATTATAAAGCTGAGGATTTTGCCGCGTTGCTTCATTTTAATCTTCTGAAGTATCTTGTGTCATGTGTCTATAGAATCCAATTCTTTCTTATTTCCATTTTGACCCACCAACATGGTGGATCCTCTAAACTTTTGTCCTTTAAACCCATTTATATACTATTATTATTGATCATTGTGGGAAAACACATACTTTGGATGAAGTGCTTGAGCTGTACCATGTGCTAGATAACATAAAAAACAAAACATCTACATTTTAAAGTTTGCACATCTGAAAAGTGCGAAGACGTTTGTGTATTGGCTAGTTTGTGTAGGCGTGTATAGTATTGTTGTGTTGGAAATTGGATTTACATTATATTAATTGGCTGTAGCTTGAAATAGGATAATGCCTTGAGCCTAATTGGTGGATGAAGTAGAAGGTCCGATTAGTACCTTTTTACTGTATGTGCGCGCATAAGCAAGACTAATAACTATTGATCTAAGACATTTTGTAGTATCATATTTCTTTCTTGTTATATATATGTAGTTTTAATACAAGATACATTATGAAATATACAAATACATGAAAGAGATGATAGTTAGAGAGATGAGGAAGAGAAACAGATACATGTAAATCAATTTTGAATTTAGAGTATGTAGAATAAATTATACCATATTGACCTACACGTATTTAAGGAAATATGTCTCTAGCAAAGAAAAAGTGATATGAAAGGTAATTTTCTGTATAACTCTGTGCATACATAATTAAAACTTAAACTAGTGAGATTTGTACTATTTATTCATTAAAAAAAAAAGTCCTAGTGTATTTTGTTTTTGCATGTTCACCATCTTTCCACGGTGTGTAGTGATCTCATCACCAATGTTTTTGCATGTGAAAGAGTGCAAATTTTAATCTGTATCTTACCGTTGGTTCCATTTAACAATTACTCAACTACGTTTTCTTTGATGTTTTTCTTCCGGCGCAGACGAGGTTAGTTTGGATAGATTTCTTACTTATTTTTCTTGTGTTAGCTATGTAAGTAAAAATATATATATTATCTTAAAAATATTTATATAAATATTATGGAAGTAGGAGGTGTGGGGTGGTGGGAATGGGGCTATGAGGGTAGGGGTGAAGGTGGATTGTGCTGTACGAAAAATGACACCATCAATGTGGAGTGCCAACATATTTTCCATACTTCCATTTGTTTTGACATGTTATAATATGACTATAATTTGCCAACTTCACACCCTTCTAAGTTCTAATTTGTAATCCAAAATAAGGAAGTAATAACTCTCTATTCTACATTTACAATATTTTATTAGATAACACATAAATACATATCAAATAATATTTACTTGTCAGACATTAAAATATAAGTAATAAGAAGCCATTAATTTTCGAAGAACATATTTTCCTTCGTATCAAACACATCATTACCATAGGAGGAAAGTTAAATTTTTCCATTGACCAACAAATTATCATACATTCTAAATCAAAAGTTGCAAAATCCTACTCAATTCGTTTGATGAACAGAGAAAAATCTATGTTACAAAGTTAAAGCCAAAACAAACAAACAAAAAAATTAAAAAAAAAGAGAAGCTTTCACCTATGGAAGAGATTGTGTATAGATATAGTCTTCATTCTCAAACAATTTCTCTTCTGCTCCACCTTTACCATTTTCTTGTTTGCAATCACCTCTATCTTGTCCACATCCACCTTTTTCACCCTTCAACATATCAACAAAACATAGAACAAGACATATTCAGAATTTAAATTTAACAGATTTAAGAATATAAATTAATGTTTACACTATTTTTAATAAATTTTCACATACACAAAACATTTTTATACCATTACAAGGATTTAATTGAATAAGCTTAATTCTGATGGTTAAAATTCGCTCCGGAAAAAGGAGAGAGAGAGAGAGAGTTTTACCTTCTTCATTGAATCCTTAGAAGAATCAACTATGAGATCATTATTAGTGACAACTTGTCTACCATGAGCTAGAAACAACAAATGGAAGATCAAAATTACTAGGATAATAGCAAAAGAGTAGAAGCTAGATAAAGGTTTCATATTGATAATAATAATAAATGAACTATATAATAAAAATATGTATTATCTTTTTGCTCCAAGAAATTACTAAGCTAAAAATTTAGTGTTTTTTTTTGCTACTCTATCAACTTATAAAGGGAAGGGAAATCTCAATGAGGGTCAATAATCTTTCTTCAACTATTTGAACTATGTCTCTTTTTTTTTTTGTTTTTTTTTAATTTCAAACAAAATGTTTTTTAACCTTTCTTTTTGACCTGTCTCCTGATTCCACAACATGTAGCTCGATCATCAAGATTATGGGTTGGCTTCTCAGATGTTTTGTCACTTAATTAAATAATCTTTATACTATTAACAATACTAATAATAATATTGCTCCTTATTTTAGTTTTATTTTGTTTTTCTGCTTTATATTCTTACTTTTTGTAGAGGGTGAGTGGGTGGATGGTTGGAAATCGGAAAGAGCTTAAAATAAAATTATATGTAAAAGATTTAACCCGTTAGTAATATTATTCACTCTAAGTCTAGTCTCCTACAACTTTAAAACATGTCATTAATGCGTCCATTTTCCAAAGCAAATAGCCATGATCACTTGCATGTAATATAGATAACATATACTTATAGATTTTAATTTAGTATAGTGGTGGCAAATGGGCGGGTTGGATCAAATATGAGTGGGTTGAAAATAGGTAAACATAAACAATTAACCCGCTCATATTTGATATGGGTAATAATGGGCTGGGTAATAAATAGGTCGGGTAAAATACTAGTTTATTCATATTTTCATGAATAAATAGTATTTTACTTAAGAATTCAATTTGGAGAAGATATTTTATTCTTTTTTTAGATGAAAATGTTAAACATGCTTCATTTAGTTTTATTGTATCATAAAAATAAAAATTAAAATCCTATAACTTTTCAATAATAAAATAAATACATATAATAACAAGGTGAAAATATTTTTAATTTCAAGTAAATAAATATTTGCATTTTAGGACTAAAACATGCTTAATGCACTTTAAGCAATGCCAATACTAATACTTGATTTGTTTATTTTACACTATTGTCGATTATCCAATATAAAATTAAATAAATAAATAAAATGTAATTATAATTAACAAAAGAAATGTACATTTAATTTATATGTTTTTGGATGGTCAAAGACTTCACCTTTTCAATTAGAGAGATGAATAGTTAGTTCTATAGAATAACATAAAAAGGAAGAGAAGTTACACTATTTATACTGATATCATGAATTTTGAGTGAATAAAAGTTAGAAGCTTAACTCATTTGGCTAATTTATATTTTACCCATATTTTTATTGGTCAAATATGGGTATCAACCCATATTTTACCCATGTGAAAAATCACTCACCCAACCCATTAAAATATGAGCGATTTGGGCAGATCACCAAAACATGAGTTCATTTTGCCGGCACCAATCTAGTATAAAACCTATACATATTTCTTAAAGCATAGGCATGACTCCGATCGAATTGAACCTCCAAGTACAAACAAAAATTATCGACTCGATCATTTTTCAATTTCAAGTCATTGTCACGTCCCGAGCCTACACCCTCGGCGTAACGGGCACTCGAAGATCATTGCTGGCCCCGAACGGACTCTTGACCTGACTTACTTAACTCAGCGGAAAACAATAACCAATAACTATAATGATCAAACTTAATTGAACTGATAAATCATACTGACTGAGAATGTTGTAAAGGTTTAAAACATTCATTTGACCAAAAGTGGAGCCCAAGTCTTAAGAAATAGAAAGAAATGGAAAGACTAAAGGACTAACATCTGACTGTATCTATGAAGCCTTCTAAAACTGAGATGGATGTTGGGACAGACCCCACAACATCCTAATAATGAAAGTACTAAAAAACAAAACAATAAAAGAAGTCCTCGAGAATGTAAGGAGACTCACCAATTGACTCTAGATTGCTCAGCTGGATTAACGGTGCGCTGGATGTCGATCCTCGTTACCTACGTCTACATTATGATACAGTGCAGGCCAACTGGTATCAGTACAGTGAACGTACGAATATGCGAGTTGGAATGCTAAAACAACTTAAGCTTGAAAAGAGTAAGCAGAAACACTTACCTTGGTTTTGCTCAACTCATGAATAACATAAGTCAATATAACTAACTCAAATAGAAAGTACTTTGAAAGCAAGTGCAATATAAAGAAAAATTGTTTGAAAACATGCGGTAAACTCTGAATGTATACAAAGATACAATTAACTTTGATATGTATGCAAAAATACAAATAAACTGCTGTGTTTGTGTGTGTGTGTATATATATATATATATATACACACACATACACACACACACACACACACACACACACACACATTTAACTTCTGTTGGAGTTTCTTTAACCGACAACCATCTCTAAGAGCTATAGTGATGATACAACGGTCTATCTCACGCTGCCAGCGAATCCAATACCCGGCCAAAGGTATAAGACCTGAACTGCCTAATTGATCCACTAGTCTACTATGAAAAGAGTTCATCTAAAAAGTATGACCCTTTTCTACCCATGATGACTACATGGTTTATGTGGACTGTGAGTACTCTAGACTATTCCTCATATCGGTGTTCAATACTACTCCCAAAATATACTGGCTCTTATATTTTAAAAATATACTTATTCTGTGATTTGAGATTAGTACTAAAAAACTAAGCTCAAGGGTTATCTTGGAAATTTCAATTTCCCTGGTTGCTTCATTTAGAAAGATATTACTCTTTTCTGAAAGCTAGCCCGAAGGCTCTTTGAAAATATCAGTTTTCCTTCTTTTTAAATGTGAAAACATTTTATACTCCTTTGAGAATACTTAGTCCTCATATACTGTTTTGAAGAAATTCTTCACTTTACTCTGACCTAAACTCAAACTAAGTCTTAAAATGACATTTAAAACGTTTTTGAAAGACTTTTGAGACTTGAAATGAACTTCTTCATCTTATCTTTACTCTTTACTCAACTTAATCTTTAAGTCTTAAAACAAGTTTAAAAGCATTTGTAAAAGACTTCTTGAAAGGACTTTAAGAACTTTCTAGACTTGACTCTAAACTTTCCTTGAATTTGAAGTTATGGATTCAAGGATGTAATTCATGTTTTTGGATGATTTCTATATGATGAGAAGTCATTTTGAGTAGTTAGAATCATTAGGAAGCGTTAAAACACTTTAAAAAGGCTTAATCAGACTAAGTAATGAAAACTTGGTAAAAGCGCCGATTCAAGCGTGTCCAGAGCGCATTGCGCCAGCCTCACTTGACTTAAGCTCCTTCCTGGCACGCCGCCCCAGCCTTCCTGGCGCTATGGGGACGCGTCGCGCCAACATGTTCTTAGGCAAAAATTCGCCGAATTTATCCTCTCGTTTTTTACCTTAAATCATTTTAATTCGATTCTTTTTCTCAAAATCACTTTAGTTCATGTACCCACATCTTATATACAAGGATTTAACCCAATGAATTCAAGAACAACACCTAGATTATTAAAGAACTCCTAAATCTCAACTCATATTCAAGAACGAAAACAATTCAAGAACATCACCCAAGAACATTCAAACATTTAGGATAAAATCACGCTCAATCAAACATGTTTGGCATGTGGGTGAACGAACCCAACGTTATGGAAGACTCACACACCTTTTAGGGATCACCACCACGAAATCCTCAAGTTAATTCGACAATCTTGGCGAATCTTGCCCTCTTTTTTCTTCTTCTCTTCTCCTTTCTCCAAGTCCTAACTTGAATTCTTTTTTTTCCTAAACTGAATAAAGTCTTGTTTTTACCCCAATTTAATCCCTAAAACGAATTAACTAAATTAGGTAAGGAAAAGATAACTTTGCCCTTTCCAAATCCAAATTGGACTTTTCTTAATCCAACATCTCAACTTCCGAAAGGCATAACTCAATCATCGGATAACGAAATCGCGCAAACTCGGCGGCGTTGAAAAGATTATTCTAAGGGCTTTTCAATCATATTTGGAACTACTCCTAACTAATCTTGAGCTAGGAGTTATGGTCGTTTGAAATTGACCAAAACTCATTCTGAAATTAAATAATTTTTCCAGATTTTCTTATTCTATCCAAAAATAAGCAACTCTTTTCTAATTCTTTCTAGTTGCGAGGTGTTACATCATCTTATTTAAATTCTTAATTAAAAAACAATTTGTCTATTGTGATACCTATGACTATTTGTGCATTGAAATGGTTGAAAGGTATCTTAAAGACTTTTGACGTAAATCATGAGTCTCCAATCAATATAAGTTATTTTTGTTAATTAATTGTTGTTAAAAATTATTTTAATAATGTACTGTAATATAAGAAGAAAAATTTATCTCGAGAACATTTGGCTTAAAGACTTTCTAGCTGAAGTGCGTACGAATATTTCATAATCATAGAATATACATGTATATATATATATATATATATATATATATATATATATCATGTGGTTACAAAACATTTTATGAAAAAATAATTTTCTCAAAATTATTTTCTACCGTACAAACAAATGTCTTACGCAGAATAAGTGAGAGGTGAACATGTAAAGTAATTTTTTATTTGAAATCTACTAATTTGACTAATCTAAATATGTATCACGTAGGGCTCATATAGTACAAATCGTTTCTTGCCAATCATTTTTTATTTTTGTATTTCAAATTCAAAATATTTAATTAAAAACTAAAGTATATGTTTATATACTTATATGGTGGTCTAAGACTTGCATGCAGGCACATGTAATCTCCTAAATAGTGTATATTTAACATATGCTAACCAATTTTTTTCTCAGATGATTTACTCTTTTAACTTCATTTTCTTATTATTTATTCACTTATAACAACTCAATCTTAATATTAACTAGCTATATATCAATATCTACATGATACAATGTTGTTTCATAGGCCTGAATATTTCCCATATATCAAGTCAAATTGCAAAATTATTACTTTCTTCCTTTTAATTTGATGGTTTGATTTAATTTTGATTTGACATATAAAGGTAAAGTTAAAATTTTAATTAAAAAGATAAAATTTAAAGAAGTAAGCGCAAAAATTACAAAGGGGGTCAATATTTAATACTTATATATATATATAATAAGTTTGATCATGTATAAAAAATATAATTTTCCATCAAAGAGGATACAAATGAACCCTGACTATAAATTGGCTTTGCTCATGGATATAGAGTTAAACAAAATAAAAAAAACGTTTGAATCTTGTGATTTTCTTCTAAAGATATGTAGATTAATGTATCAAAATATTATTTAATCTTATGATTTTAAATATATCAATTCAATTTTTTTTCTTTTTGAAAAAAAAAAAGTTAAAAAAGGGCATTTTTTTTTAAAACACACCAAAAAAAAATATAACAAACAAACTGACGTACCTAAGAAAGTTATAGTATTAATTATTTAGGAGAAAAAGGATTTTCTACTTATGAATGCCTTTTGTTTGATAATACTTGATAGACTGCGCATTCAACGCTCACAAGTGGAAAATTGGCAGTTTGCATCTCACTAGCTAAAGACAGGGTGTGTTTGTATCAAAATATTAATCAATTAATAGAATATAATGATAATTAACTAATATCATTTTGATAAAGATTTTGATATTTTTTATTTATGAATATAATTTTATGACTAAAAATTATTTTTTGTTACAGCGATAAAGTAGTATGAAGTTGCTATAGGTTTGTCACCATTAAAAAAAAAGTTG